TACGATCGCCGTTCGATTCTCGAATCGGTCCGAAGAATAGCCAAATTTTGTAAAGCGTTTAAAAGCGCCCTGTACGATCAGATGGAATAACGGCCACGACACGACGCATTAATTGAATAATAAAGAAACGACGCCGAGCGTCCCTTGAAGCCGGCAGCCCGTCCCATCGGAGCTCCACGATAGATGTACAGCTAGCCTACTTCGTGGCTTCTCGTCTCCGTACCTCCGCGATGCCTTAAGAGAATCGTTGCCCTTCGCAGCGCCCGGAATGAGCCGACGCGCTGCGGCGTCCGCGAGTTGCCCTCCAATAATAATTCTTGCCGGATTCAATTTGAATAATGCCGCGTGCGGTTTCCATCGGCATGTCTGCCGCGAAGCACGATGCTCGCGATGCCCAAGCACGCCTTATTATCTCACGTACCTACTCGCCTACTCGATACCCATCGATGGAACCCCAACTCCCATTATATTTTTCCCTTTCCTCCGCCGTTTCCTATTCCCTCTCTCGATTCGCGATCCCTTCTCGTTCTCCTGCTCTCTGGCATCCCTCTCTCTCGCTCCTTCCTTTCCTTTCTCTCGATGCACTTTCCAACTCTTCCTTCCTTCTTCGCCATCATTATTCTCGCAATACGTATTTCACTGCGTATTCCCAAGATGCCCCCTCCCGGCCCCCTCCCGGCCCCCTTACTCGGCCCACGTATCCACGTACGCGCGCACTGTGGGGCTGCAACAGGCGACGTACAGTGTGTACCACATCTAGCAAGGTATGCGCCTCGTCATGCTCCGACGCGACGTCTTTCCGCACCCTCTTACCTATTCCACTTATTTCTTAGTTCCATTCTTCCGTTCTGGCTTCCACTTCTTCTGCGCGCCGCTCACTCCGAGACCGCGAAATCGCCGCAAAATGACAGCCGACGACGTGTCTTCCGCGCGCAAGAACTCGTCAATCGCTGATGGACCTGCCTATTTTACTTTTATTAATTCATTCTGTAGTTTTGCTTGGTCAAGCAGATCGGTGCTCGCACGTAAATGCTCAGGAGCTGCTGTATTCGCATGGGTAGCGTGGCCTCGGCCGATTATACAGAATTCGACTTTCCTTGTGATTTCGAATTAATTCTACACCGAGAGACCACGTTCTCCCTCTCTCTCTCTCTCTCTCTCTCTCTCCCATGTGGAATCCTCGATTATCGATTGGCCATCGTGCAATCTAACGGACGCCTATCGGACAGAGCCAGAGAAATAGGGAGAAAAAAGGACTGTAGCATATGCGTCCCACAGGGGTGCTTTTTATCGAAGCCATTATAAAGGTTTTCAGAAAGTTTCGAGCTGCCATCCCTTGCGTTACAGTCACCCTAAAAATCCGAGTGAGGAAATGTATCGAGAAACGTATGAAAGCCCCACGATGCAGGCGGCGCCAAAAAAGATGAAGAGAAACGAAGAAGAAAAAAAGAGAAGAATAAAGAGATATAAAAAAAATGATTATTACGTTCGCCGTCACGTAGTCTTCTGATTTGGTTAGAAATTCTGAGGTCAGGATCTGATTATACAATTTACAGGCCGCTCTGAAAGCCCTTGTGAAATGGCGCAAGGTGCCCAAGTAGGAAGGGGTAAGTAGAAGCAGGATGAGATGAGATGAGGTGGATGCCGAGGAAGGTGGAATAAAGGAAGAAAATGGTGGCTGCTGGATGATGGTCAAGGTGCCCAAGAACGGGTATGGGATGTAGACAAAAACGAGGCATTAGCGATGCCGGGCTACCGTGTGTTCTCCGAGGAGTTGACCGCCTGCTGATGTCCATCTCTACTTACCAAATTAGCATTATTACTCGCACGCCCGCAAAAATGCAATCAATGTAAATCCATCTGTAATACTGAAAGCGCTTCTACGGTGCACGGAATATTACGACCGAACGAACTTGACGCTCAACTAACCTTAATGATCCTGATGCTCCGTTGCCCTTGGAAATTCCGATATTTCACCTGCATTTGCTAATCTCGTAACTCATAAGAATTCCTCAGTCTCCCAGGACTCGGCTCACGACGATTCGTGTAAATGGTTACTGATAACGCAATCGTTTTCACAAGTCTTCGGATGACTGTCACAACACAAGCCTTGCATAAAATCAATTGACAGAACATTCGTAGCCATGGGTGCTGGTTAATCCCATTGATGTCTCGCAGCCAATATGAGACGTTAAATGCGGGTACGCAGGTATTGAACTATATTAAATATAATGTGACAGTAGTAGTGCTACGGAAGACTAGGCACGGTAGCCTGCCTGGAATAGTATAATCCGTAATCAGTGTTAGAGTGGCAAAAAAAAAAAAAAAAAAAAAAAAGTCTTCTGTCTGGTTTCTATGAAGGCTCTGCCTGTGAGTCTCTGCAGAGAATCTCATGGGCGCAAGTTCCAAGGTAGGTATACTGTAGATATACATAGAGTGGCCCTGTCTATATATATAGGTATGTATGTATGACAGGAACGAAGGCTCGACTTTGGACGCCTCTGGGCATATAAGACATATAGGCTTCCCGTCTTACGCATCCTACCGCACGGCATACATCACTCGACGTGTGAACCCCAGCCGATCCTACCACACTGCAGCTTCTGCATCGGTGTGGGTAATTATTATTACGAGAGGCAAGAAAAGAGCCAGTGCCAAGCCAAACAGCGGGGATCGAGAGACGGTGGACCTCTTTCAGAGCTCCCCTGTAATCAGACAGGTACGGGGAGACCCTGAGCGAGAGAGAGAGAGAGAGAACCTGTGTCCGTATGAGAATTCTACAGATTCGAAAATAAGAAGATAACCTCCAGCAGGAGCCTCAAATGAACGTCAGGATGGATACTGACAATGACTCAAATACTTCCCTTTGCTCCTGTAGATATGCGTGATGTACGTATATATTATAAATAGTGTAAATTACAGGGGTTTGTGACACGTGGTGACGAAAATCTGTAAATAAAAATATAAACTTTATTATATTTTATTCTTAAATTACATAAGGTTTATTTGTAAGATAATATTTTTGAGCAAGCTCCCATCTGCGAGTCAATGGCCGTTACCCACCTTATTCTTTTTCTTCACTTCCTTTCCGCATCCCTTGTACTGGCAGGTAGGGGCGTATTCCGTCTTCTCCTGCAGTCCGCGTGTTCGCCTTCTAACGTGCACCGCTTTACAATACTCTGCCGCTTGTAATAAGCGGTTGCGCATGTTCGCGATTATGAGCTCACTTCGGCCTCTCGGTAGGGACTTATCGAGTTAAGGTGCGTTTTCAGGGAGCCGCACTGGCTCGGATCGCTCGTCTATCTCGCGGTGGAAGCGAGAGCGGTTAAGTCAGTTAGGTGCTGGGCTCTGGGTAGGTACTTATATTCTGGGATTTTAATGGCAAGCGAAGGCGAGTCGCGTACGCGTTAATCGCTGCATGGAACGTAAATATTTAGCCCTGGGTGGAATCAGGTTCTTGGGGATGGCTTGGGAGACCTCGGGAATTCCTGGAGCAGAGTTCTAGGACGCTACTGTGAACACACAGTCCTATGAACAGGGTTCACCCATGGAGTACATTCACACGTGCACTGTATGTTTTGGTTCGTGATCCTGGCTTCAGCCCAAGCACAAGCCTCTCACGAGCGATTGCCGAACGTAGTTACATCCTCTGGCTGCGAGGGACCTCGCATTTCTTTAAAAATGCGTTCAAAGGTTATAATTTGCCAATTTTTAATCACTAGCCAATTAATATAGACAAACGTTGTCGATCTTTTGATTATGGCCACCTGGTACTTGATCCAAGCTGTCAAATGACAGTTGTCAATTCTGACTGCTATATACGTTTCAGCTGGATATCCGTATATCTATAGAAACCAAAAGACGAGCCCCAGGAGGTTGGAACGGGGTGCGATCAGGGTGTCAGACGCGGTGAAAAATTCGCCAATTAAAAAAATCTCATTCCTGGCGGTAACGAGGGGTGGCGCGCAATTAACGTCAGCCGGGAAAATGATTTATGGCGCGGGGGTGTCAGCAGACCGGGAGGTAGGCAGGAGCTTATCATAAATTAATGAATTATCAGTATAAGACGACAGGAGGGATGCGAGCTCGGGGTGTACACCGGGTCCTACGGGATGTCCCGGCATCAATATACCCTGTGAAATATTCATTGCTACGAGGGACGCGAAGCTTTTCACGTGCCACATTAGACACCCAGTGCTCCTCTTCGGGAATAAAAACGAGCATTCTAATCGAAAAAAAAAACCAAACGGGGGTCACGTCGCGGTGAAATTAAAGATGGCCAAACCGTGTTGTATTTAGAATGAAGAATAAGTCTGATGAACAAAAACAAAAGGATGGTCCTGCAATTTATTTCACGTGATCTCTTAACTTTAAAATGAATGTAAGACAAGATCCTGGATATTCAACCTGACTACCGGTATATCCTTACACCACTAGTGCATCTGTAAGAACAGTAAGGTATTCGTTTTCGTTCCCTTTGTTCGTAAAGTTAGCGGCGAACTAAGCTCTACTAAGGTACCAAGTGGAATCAAGGTCGGCCGTAAATTAAGTCCGCGTGCTACAGAGAATCGGGGGAATATAATACGCGATGTAAAAACGTGAACGACTCTCAGATGACGCGAGGTAGTCGGCCCAAGCTGAACCCTTATGCCCTTAGCCCCTTAGCTACTAGGCCTTTGGTAAAGTGGGCCCCTCGGGCCCACCTTCTCACTCCCTGAAACAGTAGACGGGTCCGCGGCGCCATTCTTGGCCAATTTCACGCGGACCGAGCCGTTAATTACTTTGACGGGACCTGTCCACCATCCCCAGCCACCAAGGCACTATATCAATCTTTTATTTTTTCTCAGAGTCAGCCTAAACAAGGATCTTGCACAAATATTCTTTGTACTCTAGCAAGAACGACGCCTTATTCCAAAAGTGATAATTTTTTTTATTTCTTTTCTCGCCCCACTACACCACAGCATCAGCATACATCGGCATCACCTGCTAGACTGGATTTCGCATGGATATTCACTCTCGCACATTGTTTCCAATAAAATTTACACACCGTATGATATCAATTGCTAAAGACGCATTATTTAAACTCATCCGCATATAACATAGACTAGTCGGCTAGTCAGTCAGACATTCCGCTGGTAATCCGACACGTTTACTGGAAGGTATCCGCCATTGTTAGGTTATGCAGGTATCTTCCTTACCAGTAGTAGCCTGTGTAGTTGAAAGTTTGTAATTCCGCCGCCAGAAGGCACCATATACGCCAACATGGCCACGTGCTGGTTGTTTTCGTGAGTAAAAGTGAGCGGTGTCCTCCGTGTTTTCCGTGGGAAAAGAACCGATAACGTAACCCCGGCGGTACAATGATAGGCACATAAATTGCCGCATCATAATCCAAACTATGAGCTCACGGTGAATGTCAGTGCTCGTGGTGCTCTTGGCGAGCATGGCAGGCTCCGCCGTAGGCACTACTTCCTGCACTTGCTCCAAACCATCTACAAAGAGTGAGATTTCTTTCCGGAACGATCCGCCGGCATCTTACACGGTTAAAGGATACAGACCTCACGGAAACCTCGCACGTATCATCTACGAGAAAAAGAAGGCCGATGAAAGGCTCGAAGCTTACGACAAGACACAGGTAAGCCTTGTGGAGTATTTGAATAAGGTTAACCTACTGTCTCTGCCTACTTGCTCGTTCGCCTTCCTGGCTGCTTTTGCCTCTCCCTACAACCACCCTTCCAAGCAGTGACGCTTGGGGTCACGCTAGGTAACCCTCAGGGCCGTACCAATTTATTTTCATAATATCTTCGAGGAAGCATCAATGTTTTTTGTTGAGATTTTACATCAAGTCGGCATTCCAATACAATATAGTTTGATGATTTTTAAAGAGAAAACACACCTTGCTACAGTACATTGGGTAAGGACTTTGAATTAATCATCATCACACGGGCTATGTGATAGACCTTCTTTCTGATTTTCCCTCAGATGGTTGAGACACTGTAATATGAAATGCTAGGAGGAGTACTTGGTCAGGGACGATAATACTTTCGAGGAGACAGGTTCTGAAATCGGGCAAGCAGTCAGGCGTTCAGGCCTCTATCCGTTGGTTCTTCGTTGATTCGTTGGTTTGTAAGGCCCAGACCTCGGCACGGGCCACGGGGAGGAGAGCAAGTCAGTAATAATTAGTACAATTACGGCACAAGGCCAACCACTGGCTACCCCCACTACTCTCAGATGCTACTCAAGAGTCAAGCCCTCGCTCGGTAATTACGGATAATTACGTCCTCGATATTCCTGAAACATCTCGCCGCTTCGGGCTGCTCCGGCTTTCGAGGAGTTGTACCCTGACACGGGAACTAACAAAACCGGGAATAAGCGGAGATCAATGGGAATCCAACGGGAACACTCCTCGATTATGAATTTATATGCAATTTACAATTGCCTTAAAACATCTCCATTTTAATTATCGAATTCTTTACGAAAAGTGCTGTATGAGATGGATCTGAATACCCATGGTACATATAGTTTTAATTTTTTTTTTTTCTAAGAAAGAACACATTGTATTCGCGAAGGTCATAGTAGAGACTTGATAAAGAAAATAATTAAAAAATACTCGTACAACCTACGCCTCGTCTCGACTTTTACTCGAAGATGTAAAATCTCGGCAAGGTGTGTTTACCCCATAAGGCTGACTTTTTCAAGCTTTATCCACTTCATCCCCCTGACCGCACTCTTGCCTGGTTCCTCAAAATCTTGGCTCCCGGGTCGGGTAGCTCCCCTATTTACCTCGCAAATTAGGAATTCGAGCAGCAGCCCCATGGACTCTCGTAAAATCGATGCAAGTCGATGTCAACCCTCCCCAGTCTCTAATATCCCTAAGCAAAGTCTGAGAAGTTTACTCCCGGCTGCCCGGCCGCCCGGGCCGAGTGAGTGCTGGCTGCTAGCCTGTTTTAAGGTTTTAAAAAGGGCCGCCCGACACGGCTTTTGCTACTCGTTCCTTCCTGCGCGAAAGGGGATAGGAAGAGCAGTATCGTGGGTTGAACGGAAAGGGGATGCCTTGAAATATTAAGTGACTGATGGATGAGACTCCTGAGGGGTGAAAAAAAATAGGGAGTAGCAGAGCAGGAGAACGAGAAAGGAAAAAAAAAGTAAAACTAGATGGAAAAAGAAAACACAAACGACGAGTCTCATTTATTAAAATTATTATATAGAATTAACCCTCCTAATCCATCGATATGCTTGGTACATATTGAGTAACATTTTGATATCCTTCTCCAAACAAATCGAAAATCTTTATCAAAATATAATGAATATACAAAAATTAGCTATAAAACATATTCAGTTTTTTCCCTACATTTTACGAAATTACTGTTCGAGTTTATCTTATCAAGTATCATTGTATCCTATGATTCATCTTTTATCAGTCATTCAACGTACTCTCTCTCTCTCTCTCTCTCTCTCTCTCTCTCTCTCTCTCTCTCTCTCTCTCTCTCCCACTCGCTCGCTCGTTCTTAAAAGATCTTGAAACTCTAACAATAAGCTACTCAAGGTCTCCACGCATCGTTGACTCGCTTGCAAGAAACCTGATAGGAATCAATAAATTTCCACGTTTGAATCTCCGGGATCCTTTAATATCCTTATCAACGTATTACCACAAATTTTATATAATACCCCTTCGGCTAGACATCGGCTCGTTCCGGGATTTCAAGGATTCCAAGAGAATCGGCAAACGAACTGATATTCTAGGCGCGAGCAGCTTCGTTAGTCGAGATACAAAGTAAATGGATAAAAAGTCCACACGGTTAGTTACACCGTTGCTTTTTCCAATCAGGATATAACCCCAGAGTGAACTGCACCAAGCACCACTCCTACGATCCCTGATGCGGCAACATGGCAACAAGCACACGAGCATCGCCAGTCTTCCGTTTTCGAATTGCATCAAGGAAAAAATGAAAAAAACATTTTTCTACGCGCATCCAGTTTCATCGCTGTTTAAAAAATTACTTATACAATTTCCGAGTATATCGGCGAAAGCAGGTATCCGTTGCTTCCAGATAACTTTTAACTAAAAATCTATACGAGTTCCAGATACGCGTCACGTTCGATAAGAGGATTAATTGTTGAATACCGATAATTGTCTAAGTATATTGTCCGTCAGACGTTTTTTTTTGTACAAAGGTACTAAACTCGAATGATTAAGACTTTTGAAAGTGATATAAAAATAGCTAAGATAGCTTGGCTAATAAGCATCCTGCAGCAGGGTGGCAATAACATAATAGCACAGGAAGAGAATGCGTTTGACTCGCGATCCAACACGCCTTAGGAATCCAAAGAGCTCGCCGGTATGGCCGGCCAAACATCCCCAGTATTCCTCGCGGAAAGCATAAGGCTTCCAAGACCCATTTATATCTATACTCGTTCGTTTACCCTTGGGAAGCGACTGCTTTTCATCGGAGATTAAAGACACACAAGTGATGGAATTGAAAAAGCAGGAGACTTTTATAAGAAATCCAAGGGCGCCACTAGTTGTCACGATGTAAAAATCCTACGGCGACCTAAACATTCTGATCTTTGGCTAATTGACTACGTCTTAAATCCACGTTTAACGCTGCCCCGGTACACGTCCACGTCCACGTATAAATATGCATATTTATGCTTCCCGAGGGTCCATTACCGATCTAAACATTGGAAGAAGCTGCTGCGAAGGAATGGCTAGAAGTCCTGATCTTCTCGTTCGAAATTCGAATCCACGCTGCAGCAGGTTTCTTTTGCTCGTGGCTCAGCTGCAGGACGTTGATTTAGATGGCTGCGATTTCCGAGTGGAGGTCTACCTGTCGCGAGAGGAGCGCCTCGACGTGCATCTTGTCTCGGTGGTAGAGAAGCCGAGTAAGAGTGTAGCAACGTAGCCAGTGGTAACTCCAGCGCCACAGAAGTTCCCACTAATGACACAAAGAGGAATGCTGTCCAGCAACGCGGGCGCGCGCGCGCGCGCGCGACCCCGCCGGTAGCCATTTGTAATTCCCGGAGAAAAAGTTGACAAAAAGTGGAATCAAAGTGTGATGATGGGCACCGGGTACCCACAATTAGTGACACACGCTGGCAGCCATAATTAAAATTGTACGCTCGGCCTGGACTCGCTTCTACAACTTTTCTCACTCGCTCGCATTCGGAGACTCGAGAACCAGCATCACGGCCATCTCTGGACCCATTCTTCGCTCGCACTCCGAGAAACTCATCGAGTCTTGCCTCCTCCTTACTGTTATCTCTTTTTTTATTTTTTTCTTTATTTTTTTTTTTCTTTCTATAGGTACCTTCTCTACTCGCGTTCTCTACTTGCGTCACTCTGACAGTGAGACCGGAGGGCGGCTCGTGACGTCACTCGAGACTTAGCTGCTACCTTACACTCCAACCTCTGTGCATCGATACGCTTCGAGTGAGACTCGATTTATTAGGAGTAAAGCTAAAAACATCAACGTCCGTAAAGAAAGGAATGGCGCGACTATTTAATCTTAAAAAAGTCGAGACGGTAGCTCTCCGGAGGATCGCGGGATCCATAAATGAGTTCTTATTGTTAGTAAGGCACACCTGGAGTCTAGTCTTAATTACTCGGATTCTGAATCCCCGAGATCTCCTGGACAGCTCGGCATCCCCCTTTATGGGATAGCAAGGCCCCGCCGTTGCTACTACACTCAGGAACCAAAGGAAATGACGAGCGAGGGAGACTAGTAGAGGGAGGGAGGGAGATAGTACGATTAAAAAAAAAAAAGATAAAAGCAACAAGTGTCTCCCGTTGCGAAGCGCAAAAGGATTCCTAATTACCCTCCTGCCTTCAGAACGAAACGAACGAAACGAGACAAAAAGCTGCTTGATTACATTTTCGTATAATTTCATCGCTCGAACCGCGATTAGCCCACTTTCGAATCGGATTGATTCCTCAATCTACTGGGCGTAATTGGTTATTATTCTTGGAATCGCGGGTACCGCTGGAAATAGGGATCAACGCACCACCTTTATGTACACTAGAAGTTATTCTCTTTTTCATTTATTTTTTTTTTGTTATTTTTCATTGTTCGATACCACAAGAGAACAAACGGTATTTGCCAGTCAGCGAATAATATCCCTGGGAATCCTTAAAAGAATCGATGTAAAAAATTAAGAAAAATCCTTTGGATTCGCATTCTTAATTGATTTCCCTTTATTTTCAGTGGTATCGTATAGACGAGAGCAGGATTCGCGAGGATTTAATAAAACTCTGGCTGCCACTTGGAGTCGGTCCTCATCAGGATCAACCCGATGCTGCTGCTGAGGCCTTCCTTGACCAATCGATAGATAGATCAGACTCGCTGCCGCTACAAGCGTGGCACTCTTTGGCAAGGTCCGCACTTTCCTGGTTCATGAGCAGGACTTCGATAAATGGGTGAGTTAATCTCAAAGATTCTTAATTATCTTGTTCGAATAAATTAATGAATAACGTGTCCCTCTCCCATCCACTTCCCTGACACAGATAAAGTAAGACGTCTCACGCGTACGTAGATTGTCCAAAGAATCAAGAGGAGTCTGACAGTCGAAAAGTAAGAAGAGTTCAGAAGTCAAATCGGCCGTTCCAGCATAAGAAAGACTCTGTGTGCCCTCTATGGTAGGGATCGTTTCTGAGGTGATGAAAGGGGGCCTTCCCTTCTCAGCGGTTAATTAATAACCACGAAGATACGATCTCCGCCTATCTTTCTGTGGAGCTCGAGAACCTGGTGGCAAAGGCCCGGCGTGGCAGAGAAGCCTACATGGTCACACGGGCGTACAAACACACGGAGCCGCTGTGGTTATTGATGGCCGACTTTGTTTGGCCCTCTGAACCGTTTATTAAAAACCAATGCGGGTGATTAACCTCAACCCATTCCATGGTACATAGAGATGCTGCTACCATCATGAGGATTAGGATGACTACCAGATATCTTTGGATTCCCTGCAAAGGAAATATAAGGATGCTGGGTAGGGAACGATTATCTGGCTGCCGGGCTTGTTTTCGAGTGCTCATCTCTTCTACTCTTCATACCATAGGCCCTGTAAGATGCTGGAGGGATGACGTAGACCTTGCGACGAGCCGACACTGTCCTGCTGAGAATATTAATTACGTTCCCTTCGTTTCATCATCCCATTGGCCAACCTGGTAGCCAAGGTAGAGACCTGCTCGCAGTTTGAGACCTCCGTACTACTCTCAAATTAATCATAATTAGCGGCAAGATGTCCTCCATCAAAGTGCTCTACACACTCGAGAATGAGATGGAGAGAGGAGAGAGACGCAGAGAATGGCAATAAGAATGAGGGAGGGAGAGAGAGAGAGAGCGAATGAACGTCCGCGCGAAATGTGCGATTCTTCTTAGGTTTATGTCCTCTTTGACTCCAACTACAATCTCCATCTTTAACTCACGCTTAGTATACTCAGTGGCTTGGGCTCCATTTGCTTTTATTCCCTCGAAATGACGCGTAATTTCGCCAGATTGGCACGCAGGTGGCAACCATAGTCCCCGCGAGAGAATCCATTCACGCTCACCGGCGTCAATTAAAATTGATTGCTATCTCGGAATTGTGATTGTTATTAATTGCCACGTGGAGACTTCTCTGTTTATAGTGCACGGCTCCTCTTGGCGTTCTGGTCCTTACCAGTCGCTTAGCATTTCTTAATTTATTATACAGGAATTTCTTGTATCCAGCAAGTAGGTGTTGCAATTACCGTGGTGTTCCATTCTGTGCTACTATGGTGCGAGCCCCAAGCGCCGGAATGACTCCCAGAGAATTCTCAAAAGGGGTAGAAAATGAGCGTCGAGACTAAAGCAGTAGCGGAGGCAGATAGAGAAGAAGTTGATGAGCATCCAAGAGGAAGAGTGATATGAACGGTGGAGGTAAAGTCAGAAGAAGGAGAAGGGCATCAGGCCCCGAAGTAGCAGACGGAACCCAGTAGCCAGTTTTTGTCGAGGGCCCCGGGACGGCGGCGTCGACGCTCTCTCGCTCTCTCGCTCTCTCTCTCTCGAGAGGAAGGGGCTGTTTAGTTCCGCGCGCCACCTGTTACCTCCCTTCATTCTCCCCGTCTTCTCCTGCCCGTAGCAAAATGCACTGCGCCACTGTGACTTGCCAAGGGTGATCGGACCCCCAGGTTCGTTCCTCGATCTACAAACGACCTGCTGCTTCAGTGACGTACCCGAGTACCGATCAGTCTGAACAAGTTCAGGCTTACACCTTACACCCGATAGGGTGTCCCTTAGGTTTTCAAATTTTCATATTTTTATCCTGGAACTTGAGTTTAACATACTTGCAGGTACTTATTCACATTCAAATCGCTCGGAGGATTCAGTTGGAATATAGATCGTGCTGATCTCGTTTCCCAGTACTGTGGTAGCATTATGCGTAGAAACTCTCCAAGAATCCATTTCTAGCCTCGCTCGTCCATGAACGCTAATAGCCGGTACGGTGGAATAGTGGAATACGACCGAGCGTGGTCAAAAAACAAAATACGATTTTAATGACAACAAAAGTCGCTCGGAATGCCAACACTGTTCCCGTGCTTTCCTGCTAATGATAATTTTTTTTTTTCGAAAATTACGGAAACACATGACGCCAGAAGTGACAATAATTGGAGGTACGGCTTTGACCCAGGTGACATTAACAGACCGACCGACACTCGTCAACATCCGTAGACTCCCGGAAAAGCTATCTATATTCAATTTACTTAACACGCAACGCTGGAAAAGTATCCGTCATCAATTTCATAAAATTCAGCTACGAGCTAAATATAATTATATGGAGACTCGATACTAATGCCCTTAAGCACTCCAGATAGGACGTCCTCCATTTCCTTTGGCTGTTCTAGGAAATTGAGCCGGGGTGCGAACGAGGGTCTACCCGAGGAACATTTTCCCGGGGTGGCATCGACGTCTCGATTGGCTCGTTGGTCAGTAATTATCATTAAGGTCGTTTTGCGCAGGTCTTGGGGGAAAGGGGCTATTCTCTCGGGCGTCTCGACGAGTTTCCCCAATTGGCAAACCCGCCGTAATTAACCCAGCCAGCGCAGGCGCCAATTCTCGCGGTGGAAAAGCCTTCCTATACTATAGCCATCACCGTCCCCGTTGGAATTCGCCCGGGACGCTCAGGGTGGTGGCAGTCCTGGCTCAAGGCTGTACACCGGTGACCAGTAATTATAAGGGAGAGGCGTTGCCGAAGGGGTGGCAATGCGCAATGTCTTAACCTGCGCCAGCAAAGCTTCTGCGCTCTGCTAATTACTCATTAACCCTTTCTAAGGTCAATCCGCTCCCCAGCGACCGCCTCCTCTTCAGGGTTGGTTCCTCCTTCAGTCGTGGATTCTGCCGTCCCTTTCTTTATTCGAAGCTTTCAAGGGTATCGGTGAGAGGTCACCCTCAACGTCATTCCAACATTCGGGAGTGGTGGTACGTGTTTACGGGGGCGGTTTAACGATCCTCCGAATATCCCCTTTACGTCCTTCTACAAATCAGGCTAGACATAGGCATACGCAACTCACGTGTGTCTCGTACTGGAAGAACCAAAGAGACTCCGGAGCCGCGCTACTCGCTAGTAAATACGTAGCCATGTGCGTCTCCACATGTTCGTCTCTCCATGTATCTTCTCCCGTTCCAGTGTCTCCGGGAACACCCCGTGAATTATATATGCGCGTCGCGGCCGAATGCAGCGAATCCACGTCGTGAACACATAAATCGAACAATATGAGTCGGACTGAGCCAATCAGAAGGGCTTTTAGTGGACGATAAAAAGTTGCTGGCAATCCCCTCTGCGACGAACGCCCGCTCCTCGCCTGCCTGCCTATAGCTACTAGCTAGCGGCTAGCGGCTAGCACCTGCAAACCAGCATCGGGTAGACCTACGTGTACATATGTGACTACACGTATATCCTGATACGTACATAAGCGTACCTCCTTTACTTTACTTCTGTCCCACAATCGACACACGATTCTCTCATTGCGAGAATCCTCTAGGACAGCCGCCTTCCTTTCGTCTTTTGGTCTTTTGGTCTTTTGGATTAAGGACGAGCGCTACCATTTAAATGAGGGGCTCCATTAATGACGCGTGTTTCATGAGAGAGTGCGGAGCTTCACTTTCTACCGGTCGCTGCTTCTATTTAGAAAGGCGTGAGGATATATCCGTCGAGAGCGCAGGAGGCATCGACTAGTCGACGTGCGTCGCCCTCGCGTTCTGGCATCGCGTCGATGTGTCACCGGGTATACGGGAACTCATCATCGCCGGCATCAGGGTGAGGTTCTAGAGTGTCTCTGGCAGTGCGCGCGCCAGGGTCGTCTTCGCGGATGGGAGCTGCGTGCGATAGACGGACGGATAGACATGGTGGGGCAGAAGGCTTCGGTTCAACTAGAGTATCAGAGAGAGAGAGAGAGAGAGAGAGAGAGAGAGAGAGAGAGAGAGAGAGAGAGAGAGTACGCGAAAGACTCGCATAACGATCCCGTTTAAGAATCGTCTCCTTTCCCCACGGCCCCCCCTTGCCACCCTCGTCTCGGCCAAGCGAAATAACAGGGTGTCCACGTTCAGCCCCTCAGCATCAGCGCCCCGACAACGAAGCTGGCGGTGGTGGTGACGGCGGCGGCAGCGACGACTACGACGACAAGGACGGCAACGGCGTTAGCATTTGCAGACTCGCGTGTATAATTGTCCTCTGGAATCTCCCCTATCGCAGCCCCACCATTGACCCGCGAGGCGGATCTCTCCCCACTGTCTCTCGGTCGGGGTGGTCCATTGGCCACGCCTCCCAGCATCCCTCTGGTTCTATCTGTCCCACCTTGCTCGCTCGATCTCTCCCACTCGATAGTCACCACCACCACCACCACCACCACCACCACCACTACCACCCCAGGCGCCGAGAGCCTCTCGCGAGATGAAACTGGGAGAGCGGCTAACGAGACGCCGTCGACCGCCAGGGGGAATGCTAAATACACGACGTCTCTCCTCTCCGCTACGGATAGCTAACCTAACCTCCCGTGAGTTCCTCCCTCTGCCCCCGTAGTGCCGGCGCCCCCACTTACACATCCAGCCAGCCAGGCCGTTCCTCTTCGTCGCACTCGCGAAATAAGTAACCCCCTCCAGACGCCTCCTGTCAGCCACCCCCACTGCGCCCACACCCTCACTCGCCCTCCCCCGGGGGGAGGGTGATTCGAGCGCGGAGGGCACCGGGCTCTTACATTGTCGCTCCGGGCGAGCACACACACGGATGTTCGCACACACGTCGCCCGACGCGGCGCACAACGTCGATTGTATAATCGCGACTGAGAGCGACGGGGCGGGAGGGGGGAGGGGGAGAGCGCGAGGGAAAGAGAGAAAGAGAGAATGGAACGCCGCGATGATATCAGAATAAAAGACCCTTGACTCGATTCTTTTCTTTTCCCTACTTCTTTTTTACCTTTTTCTTCCCTTCCTCCTCCTCCTCCTCCTCACTCTCACCCTCGATCTCGACTTGGCGACTCTCGCGGATTCTCCACGATTTTCACCGTAGGTTCATTCACACCCCGGCGCGTACAACGCATTCGCGGTATCCTTCACCCTTAGCAGCGAACGGACCCAGGCTGAGTGGCTGACTTTGTCCAAGGAAGTCCCGCTGCTATCTGCACCCTGTGATATATAGTCCATTGAGTCTCCTTACAGAAACGTCTAATATTCTCAAAATCATATGTGCCCTATAAATTCCTCGAAAATACATTGTCATATTATTTAGCGATTCCATGTGCGAAGAGTTCCGAGTTCACGAGAATCACGTCAAAAGAAGAGAGAGAGAGAGACAGAGAGAGAGAGAGAGAGAGAGAGAGAGAGAGAGAGAGAGAGAGAGAGAGAGAGAGAGAGAGAGAGAGAGAGACTCGGACAGTCTCATCTTCGATGGAGCTCGTAGAATACAGAGGCGAAGGAGTCAAGGGTGACTAGACGAATTCCTCGAGGATGGTGGCCCAATCAGATCCCGTGTCACTCGGTTCATTAAGCCAGCTCGGGGCTGCATAGGTGCAGCCAGGTGTTCCCGGGATGAACCGGAGACGTCGGTGGCGTCTCGACGTCTATCTCCCAGCATCCCACGGCATAGCTATATACATAAAAAAGATAAAACACTTCTTGTTGAAGTTACTCACGAAATCCCAGGTCAACTTGGGAGCACAGTAATGGGCGTACGGTACCAGATCCCCGCTTCTACCGATATATATTTAATAACGGCAAATTCGATCAGGATTCGCGATCGGCGCGCTCGCCTTCGACTTCTCTCGGCATTAGCGAGGATCGTCCTCCGGATCCTTGTACCTGACTCCTGCATACGTAGCTACCAGGCTGTGTGCAGCATGTGTACTGTATGTATATATAACGCGAACAGCGGAGGTTACCTCGGCAGCCAGAACGGCACACGGTTCAACGGGATTTGCAAACAATAGGCTCGAACCAGGGTGGATTCTTTAGATGGCGGCTGATACGCATCGCATTTACATATTATTGCTATTATTAGGTAAACGGTCCTCCGAGCGCCTCTTTAACACTACGAACTCGCCCTTCCAGGTATTTTACGAGCAGTGCGACCAGGAGAATCTTCTGCAGATCTAGAGGTGGGGGAGGGGGGGGGCAAGGAGCAGACGCTGGCCTCAGAGGCTGCACTCCATGGATCCATGCACGTGCGGATCATTCTATCTGAAAGGAATAAAAAAACAAAAGGTTTTAGCCAGAGCGTAAATAATAAATAAACGTAAACATCAGAAAAAATATTCCTATCTATTCCATCCGTCTGAGTAGCACACAATAGTTATACACATATATAACTACCATCCGAAGATAGTCGTCCCAGCATCTTGAGATAGGTACCAACTTCTGTGTCCTCTCCTCTTGGAACATCTTATCGTTATAGCCACAATACCCTCAGCACCAAAGACTCACACGAAAAAGAATTCCAGCGGGGATAAAACCTTGCCTGGTACTGCTAGACCGCATGCCGCCACGATCCAAATTAAAGGCTCGCGCAGCATCCTCTGAAAAGGGTCCTACTGCAAGAGACGACGCGCAGCTCAAGAACAAGATAAAACGGCCAAATCGAATTGGTTAGGTGCTGGACTGTCTGTGTGTGTGAATATATATATATATATAGAAAGAAAAAAAAAGGAAAGAGGTTTACCACTACCTCTATTTCCTCGAGAGGAACGGATAACGTTGGCCGAGGGGCTGAGGGTAAAGCCTGCTGCTCCTGAGGACAGAACGAGGAGGCAGAGATCGCGTAGGTACCTACACACAATGGACCCGCGAAGAGAGAAGTCCGAAGGAACCGAGGAGCAGAAGCGGTGAATTAATTGTCGCTCGCGCCGCCGCCGCCGCCGCCGCTGCTGCTGGGACCGGGACTAGCCTGGACCCTACGATCTGCGGGCCTTGATTTGTGGGCCGCACGTGTGTGTCTCCAGTCTTGGCTCGATGCGCGGAGCCTCGCGACTAGATACGCGCTTGGGGCTGACAATAATAGAAAAAAGAGGAAAGAAAATAGTGAGAGAGAATCTGCTAAGGAGAGCGGAGGGACGCCGCACACTTTTATACCTGAGGATCGGCAAGGGGAAGGGGGAGGGGAGGAGAGTCCGCGAAGGAGGCGAAGGAGGCGAAGGAGGCGAAGAAGGCAAAGGCGACGGCGACGACCAACGTCGCTAGGAGAAATAAAGATCCAGTGAAAGAGACGCGAAGGGGAGGCAAGGAAAGGAAAGTAAAAGAAGAAGAAGAAGGTAACGCGGCGAGCGGCGAAGCAGAGTCGGACAATGCAGCATCCCGGTCGCGCTCGTCTGCGCACGCCCTCTTCTTATTTTTATTTATTATTCAATGGGCCGGGTAGGTGCTCGTTAATTGATGGCACCGGCCATGCCTGAGCGGAGATCCTTGCCTTATTTATATCGCGGCTAACTGAATTCACGATCAAAATCCCGCGTGCAGCGGCATTGATGGATCGCCGATCCTCTCGATCTCTATACTCTTTGAATCGCGCTACCTTATCCATAGTTTGGTAGCCCAAGAAAATAGATTATTAGAATACAAAGAGCCGTTTTTGTATAAAGAAATGTTAAATTTAGACCTCTTCCTAGAATAAATGAAACATTTGTCTTAACTAATGACGTCCCGTGTCAGTGAAAGATCTTTTAATTTTTCAGACTCCTAGGGCGAGGATCCATGCACGTCTTCTCCACAGAACAATTTCAGAAATTGATGAGCGCCAGTAAATACAAGGGACCCTGGAACTCTTTGGTTGATCTTGGTGCAGGCGATGGAGCAACAACAGCGCACGTGGCACAGCTCTTCAAGAAGGTCTACGCTACTGAAATTTCACCACCCATGAGATGGACCCTTGCCAAACGAGGTTTCACGTAAGTACAAGTGACTGTAAGGTCGGTCCTGATCCTGGTCACCTTAATTGAGTCTAGCTCCAATTACTTAATGGATTTCTATGAATTCTGTGCAGGACGCACGGGGTGTACTTTTAATACTCTTAGATTTTATTGAAGTAGGACTTTATGGTACTTTTACCGATAGTATCACTTTGGACTTGGCTCTACTCTGGATCCCGAGAGGGAGCCACTCGAATTTTAAATAAGGAACCCAACCTTTCACAAGGACTTAATTCGACCCCTAGGATTCTCAAGCGTAACTCGAGACTAGCAGTCGCCCCCAACACCCTCTTGGAATGATCCACCTCCTTTACTATCGGTCACTGCTCTCCTAGCAAATTAAATTGATCCTATCAACTTCCCTGAGCCAATCACAATTAATCAAATGGATAAACTGAGCTTCTTCTCAATTGTAGTTAGCCTAAATGCGATACGCACAACTCAAACTTATTGTTAGAGAAGCTACCAATGAATTATCTAAATATGATGTTGCATCTCCTTTCGCAGATTGCTCGACGTCAACAATTGGCACACGGATGCTGGACCCTTTGACGTGATACTCTGCTTGAATCTTCTTGACCGTTGCGACAGACCCAATACTCTCCTCAGAAGACTGAAAGACACTCTGGCACCTGGTGGTAGACTGGTGGTCGCCCTAGTGCTACCATTTAGTCCGTACGTCGAGGTCGGCGAGAGAGGAGATCACAAGCCGTCCGAATATCTTCCTGTAAAAGGAAACGGTCTCGAAGGTCAAATTGCCAGTTTGATTGACAGAGTTTTCAGTCCTCTTGGTCTAAGGTGTCTTGTTTGGAGTAAATTACCTTACCTTTGCGAAGGAGATCTTGGACAAGCATTTTATTTCCTCGACGACGTTGTCTTTATCCTGGAAGCGCACAAGGTATGGAAACTTTATCAGCCTTATAGCGAAATCAAATAATATACGATTCATATCTTCCTCATATTTATTTTTAGGAAGAACCTCATTGTCCCTCAACCGAAATTACAGTTGGGACATCGACTAACGAGACTGATGAATCATGAATCATGAAGATGATGATGGTGAAGGATATAGGACAATGACGTCGAATACAGAGGCGAGTCACATTTGTAAAAAGTTTAATAATTATTTATGGTGAATGAATTACGCAGGAATATAGGAAGAAAAATCGAAAGAGCAATACTGACAAGCGACGACAAATTTTATGTGCAGACACAGCTGTAGCGTTTGTGTACGTAGAATATGTATTATTTATCGTGTAAGAATTTTAGAATCAACAACGGAGTGCATAAATGCTGTCTTACTCCCAAAGCCGGTCATTGGCAATACCTTTCGCGTTACAGCTACTCATATTTTTATATGATAAACCTCGCCCTGACTTCACAAAAAAGATCATTTTACAAATTTACATCTAGTATCTGTATTCTGATATGGAACCTCTAAATCTTATCACAATATTCAATACCCACGTCACGAAGTCGTTCATCAATTTTTCTTATCCTCTGATCTTTCATTTTCCTTCTACTCCAATGAATTTCTATTATCATGTCCTTTTTCATTATGTCATGGATATGCTTAGTCGCTTTAAAAACTTGATAGCAAGACAAACAACGGTACGGTCATGTTTACTTGATACAACTATTACGAGAATGTGAGTCCACCTAGAGAAGATACGGTAATATGCCATACTGGATAACAAGTAATAGGTAGGATAATATTGCAGCAGTCACGCAATTAGAAATACCAACGCAAAAGACATAATGCGAAGAAAAAACAAAAACGTTGTAAAAAAAAGAGCACATGGCAAGTCGTTCTTGCAAGACGCAATAAATATATATATATATATATATGTATATATAGAAATAGTAACATACATTCACATTCAGTCATTCGGATTTTTGCTATTAAATAGCTCGAAAACTGGCAAATTTCGAAAAAACGTATGCACGTTTTAAAAAATGTCAATATAATAGCATAATTCAAATACTGCCAAGACCAATAGATACACGTGTACATCGGATGGTCAGAAATGCAATTACAGTTTATTTATCTAAGTGTTATGCACATTAGCTGCGTAAAGTCGCCTCCGATAAATGCAACTCAGATGCGATTACAATTACTTAAAACTGTCTGGAAATTTCTTTATTTGCGCAGGTTTAATTTTGAGTTTGATTCAATTTTATATGTTACGCAATTGTAAGCTGCACTACGAATCCCGTGCAACAAATTGAAAATATTTGGCCAGATTACTCAGCTAGTCGATGAATTCACCAAGGGAAAATTAATGCATAACGATAATAGCCTCGATATCCTTATTTTTTCCTTCCTATTCATTCTTCTTCTCTTCGCTGATTGCTTAATATTAAACACAAATCGATGAAAAACTTCACCTAGGATTTACGTGAAAGTTTCTAAAGCACGTAATAGTACTTCTTCGATTGAGATTCTACGCCAATCTGAGCGCATATAAAAATACGAAAAAGTATACTTCGTTATTAGAAAATGTCGCGACGAGCACCATTGGCAAAAAAAAATGACAATCACTGAAAAATCCTAATAGTCTCCGCGTGTAGGATTCGGAGCGGAATTCCCGACGAGAAGAAAATAATAAAGAGAAAGACAGAACTACAACGTGAGTTCGAACCTACATTTGTGTGTGTGTGTGTGTGTGTGTGTGTGTGTGTGTGCTCGCGCGCGCGCGCGTGTGTGTTTGAAGTCGTTTTTCCCTTTTTTTGTTGTCACTACCCACGTTTATCACAGTCCACGCATGACTCGTTTTACCTCCCACTATTCTCAAGTCCTAAACGCCAACATCTTTTTTGAGCAAACCATTCAGACCCACTTCCTGTTTATTTGTTTGTTTGTTCTCTTTTCTTGAAATGGGCCCAACACATTATCTCCTCTGATAGTTCCTCTTTTTTTGACTAGATACACCGCAGAATACAAAGACAGGACCAACTGTCTTACTTAGTCCAATTTTCGCTGCTCACACATATCTTCAAGTCCCCCTGCCTTCCTACGCATAAGATGTTTCATGTCCCATCAGGTTATTAGAACATTTATGAAACTTAAGGCATGTTTGTTACTAAAAGATAAGATACTCACAATGTAGGAAGATACGAAGTGCCAGTATGATCTAACCGATGTTTGTCTTCATTCTTCCAGCTGGAAACTGGAATATGTGGCGGTGGCAAGAAACTCCTCAATGACTGTACAAGCTGTATAGTGTCAACCAATGCTGCAGCAGACAATAATAAGGAACTATTCCGTTAATTGAATAGAAACTGACTGTCGTGGGAACTTCATCAAATCATCACAAAACTTAATACAGTTACTAAGGCGAATTCTTCATTGCTTCCATGTATATCAGTTATAAATTAGAATTTATCAATGAAATACTTCGCAGTGTTTACACATACTCTATGAACAAAACATTTTCTTTTTTTAGTTTCTTATACATTTCTACCCTTTATAAAATATTTTACAAATTCTTCAATAAAACTCATGTAATCGTTTTGTAACTTTATACACAGAAAATGAATCTCTTATTCACGATATTATTAGTCCTACAAACAGTTGTTTTATGGAGACTACATGTTAATTGGGCTTTTAGATAAAATCATTACTTTTTTGTAAGGCCTCCGACTGCTTGCCATAAGGTTTGCACATCGCTGGACGCACACATGCCTTCATCCTCGCCATGTTTTTCATGACTTCGGCGAAAGCTCTCACTATCTTCTCCTGTCCGCCTGCATCAAAAATAATAATCAGATAAACCTTCTTTATTTTTTGCCATTTATTACAAGGTGTATTCTTACCTTCCGAATTAGAAGAGGATGATCGTGAACTTTTATCACCGTCCATCGACCAAGCACCATTATGTAACGCCAGAAGATCCTTATTAGCATTTCCTAAACCTTGAAGATTTCCTAATCCCAATCCACTGAGACCATCCAAGTTGTCCAAATTCGTGCGTAAAAAATCTGTCAACTTGTGATCAGAAATTTGGACGGTGGGTATCAGTGACTCATAGTGCTGCTTTACATTAGGCTTTTTATCTTGGGGTCCTGGCCGATGAGGTATATTCAAGGACGGACGACTCGGCGGACGTTGAAGATTTACTTGATTTCCAGCACCACGCATTTCCGTTAAATCCACAGTCGTACCACCCATGTGCGTGTTTTGAGCAGCTCCGCTCAGAGCCTGAAATCATTAGCATTTCGTGTTTGTGGACGTGCGTATCAGTATGCATTTGTGTGCGTGGCATTGCGTATGCATTATCTTTTTGCTTTTTGTTTCCCAAAATATTTCTCACAAACCGAGTGTTCAAGAAAATCTTATGAATGTTCCTACCTACCGCTTGGAAGTCTGTACTATGAGGGAAGCTGGAACGCAAAAGCGAAGCGGTGGTCTCGTTGTCTTGTATGTACGTGGGAGCCATATGGCCCATTTTCTGGGTCAGTTCCAGTTGATTTTTGTAATAACGACACGCGGGATTTGGACAGTTTTGCACCACTTCAATGATGAATTCCTTTTCCATTCCGAAGCACTCGCGGCCGATCGTATACGATTCCATGACGGCGCGCACTGTACCCTCCAGGCCCAAATGCAAACCGTGCGGCCCATTCATGTGCTTTAACATGACGGCGTTGGCGAAATGTTCATAAGGAAGTATTATCTTACCATTTTCCCTAAGGACCAGCCTTCCTTGGGAGTCCAATGCTACTCTGGATGCCATCATTCTGCAGACAGGATTTGCTTGATTAGTATACAAGCATTAATATGAATATTGTATTAACAGTGTATTGATACTGCTGTATATATAATTCATAGCTTACTGTAAATACGCTGCACTTGGCATCATGGAGGCCTCCTTGAGTTCAGAGAAACACTGTAACAATTCTATACTCGGATTCCATCCTTTATTTTGAAGATATAGCTGTAGAAGCATGTACATCTTTTCTGTGACGTATCCTGCACCACTTGCACTACCAGGATAACCTGAACCTCCTCCTGGTGGACCCATCTCAGTCTGCATACCTTTAGCAACAATATTTTTCATAGTTTCTGCCAAGTCCATTCTGCAACAGAATCAACTTAATATTCTAAACAGTCTAATACACAAAATATATATTTAATTAAAATAACTTTTAAAATATAAATCAGTACTGCTAATACTACTAAATGTTCAATACTCTTTCTTTTACTCAGTCACAACATAATGATTAGGAGTATAAAATTAAATTCATCATCAATGAGAGCAAATGTAAAACAATAAAATCATGCAAAAATGTAAAGAGGGAATAAACGACAAGGCGTCTGAGCGATGCGATTTTTTCCGAAAATCGTATAGCAATTTCCATAGTACCGTATGCATTTGGATAGGTGCATAAAATGAGTTTCCGTGTAAGGACAGACCCAAAGGGATCCTCTGCCCATGGAAATTTCAAGCATTTCAATTCCCGGGCGTTCATTAGGCAGCACAAATTCGTTAATTCGTCGCTTTCGGCCATTGTTGTTTTCGAGATGCAGAGCAGCGGGACAGGAGGGAGAAAAAAACACTTGCGCGAGCCACCGCCCCCCTTTAAAAAAGAGCTTAACCACGGAGGCCGATTCCAAATTCTCCCAAGATTTTCCTGTACTCACCCCGAGCCCGCTTGCTTCCCATTCACAAACTCACGGGAAACTCGCAAGCCCCAAAAGCACCCCTATTTGCCTCCGCCCGTCATTCTTTAATTAATTAACAACCTCGGCATTTGCAAATAACATAAATCGCGATAATTATTTCCGCGACGCTCGTTTTGGTTGCCCATCACCAGGAGTCGCTACCAGTCGCCACGAGCTACCGTTCAGCGTTACCAACCATATCACGTTGTTGGTGTTCCATAAAACATGGATACATATAGAAATAATATAGCCTTCTTGCAGCAGAGATGTGCAGGCAGAGATGAGTAGGGAGATTGCCAATGGGCCTGTTTTTCGTAGCCTCACTTTTATTCTGGTTTCGGCGCGCCACCTTAGCGGAGGACCCTCCAAGCAGTTCTACGTTTTTGATTGGTCGAGTATATATAGTAATACTACGCGTGAGAATCTGAACTCCTTGCTTTGGCGCGCCGACGCGCCACCTGAACGAGAATCTCACACTAGTTCCACGTTTTTGATTGGTCGAGTATATATAGTAATACTACGCGTGAGAATCTGAACTCCTTGCTTTGGCGCGCCGACGCGCCACCTGAACGAGAATCTCACACTAGTTCCACGTTTTTGATTGGTCGAATGAATTTGTGTGTTCCACGAGATCCACGATTTTAAACCGGGTGAACACTCAAATAGGGAGACTTGTATCCACTTTTTTTTACTGGATATTACATAAACCGTAGTAATGAGGCAGTCGATTGTGCCGATGCTAATACCCTTAATATCCATATGAAGCTTTGGAAATAATAGAGTAAGCAAATAAAACTATAAGCAAACCTTCGAACGTAGGTAACTACAGAAATATAAGTTTCCTAAATAATATGTCATAATGACTCGGTGGCACACGTGCTTGGTGCTGGATTAACATTCGAGAGTCTCAGTTTCGAAACCCACACTTCATCCATTTTTGTTTCAATTATCAAATATACTTATTGGTTCACCCTAATTAACTCAAGATTCATTAAATACATGATCATATTAGACTACAAATATTGTACTGTATTACATCGTATACATGCAATAAATTTGTACATGAATCAGCGAACGTTTTTTCTTCCCCAGAGCCTGCCTGTGACAAACACCTATGGCACGCTGTTTCATTTTTTAATAGCATAAATAATATTTAGACGGATAAAGAAGGCATTACGAAAAATTAGCAAAAACAAAATTGCACTTATTAATCTCGGGCATAAAATGATGAGCATATAAAAATGAACCAATTATTATCTATGAAGAGATGAAACAAATAATGTATCTGGCTAGGGATTTTTTTTTTATTAAATTTTTATCATTCAAGGCTACGTAAAGACAACATTTTAAATACATCGAATTATCAGAAACTTATGCCGAGGTAGAATTTTAATTCTGAATTATTTTTTACATCTAAACATACTGATAATTCGAGATATTAAAAATAAAATTAGCTTTCTGTAGGCTTGAAAAAGATTTACTAAATTGAATCAGACTACCAAAAACGCATGAAGCTAAAAATTTCTAGGCAGATACGCTATTTGTCTCATCTCACTATACATACATATAAAATAATTGTGTGCTTTTGTACGTTTTTCATTTTTTTTTACCCGACATCAATAAGTGCAATTTTTTGGGACATTTTTTACTGCTTTTCTATTCGGCTGAATAGTATTTAAATTGCGTCGTTCTAGTACTTGTAAAAAAACTATGCCAAGTACAGGAGTGCTGTGCATTTCTCTCACAAAAAATATTGAAATCTTATTAATAATGCCAAGTACTTAAGTCACTACATATCTGCTTATTATATGATCCAGCACTAGCCCACCATTTTAATTGTATTTTCAAAATTTCATATAAAGTCTTCGCTATAATATAGCACTTAGTATACTGGGTACTAAATAATATATTTGTAATATACGAATGAGTCAAATGTTTAGTAAATAATATTCCAGAGTCAACTGTAAGCACAACCGAAATCCGAACATTGACGACTGTTTCCGAAGGCAGCGCTCGGGGGTTAGCTACACGTAAGTGAGGGTGGCTGCCTGTGACGCAGGGAACGTAACGGCTCGGGGCCTTCATTGTTCCTAGACCCATCCACCTAGTCAGTGCGGCCTTACCTACGCGATAGGTGTTTCTCTATCTCTCTCTCGCTGCGCGACTTCAGTGTGTGCTGTGTTACCTAATTCCGTTATTTCCGCTGGACCATTGCTTCTTCCGTGATATCACTTTGCTATCACAGTCAACTCCGTAGCAAATACGTCAAGTCGGTTTGAGCGGTGGCGTGTCGTGGGTTGGCGTCGGCATCCCTTACTGCGCTCTCTAGGGGAGCGGTCACGTCCGTCTGCGTTCGCTTGTGCTACTCCGCTTGGCGTATTGGTGTACTTTACGTCCGCCAAGTAGCTTCAATCACCTCTGTCGGAAACACTTTGCGCGCTGATCGAGGAATAACGTGATTCACCACCGGTGATGAATGTGGTTCCTTCGTCTAACCTGCCCAGAGTTTCGGCGCACGGGCGGGCAGGGACGAAGGTTTTCAGTGTAATTAAAGATCTCTAGCAGATCTTCCGACTTCGGTTGGTTTCTGGGTCCTTGTGATTCGTTGCGGTCGACTCGGCTAGGGGTGATCGCGATTTTTAGTCTGGCTCCCATTTCTCGTGTTTTGTGTTTGCGACCAAAGCATCCGAAAGTGCTTAAAGTTGGTCACAGGTTGTGACCCTTTTAACTCCAATAGTTTTCCTCGACGCAGCAGTCTGCACACTTGTAAGACGGACCCCGCCGCCCGTCGAAGGCTGGACTTGATTGCGTGTTTCTAACCTGCAGACGATTTGATCCAAACCATTACATTGTCTCGTCTCTCGTGATTGTTGGCCATTCTCTATTTAACTATTATTTCTTTTTGTTTTAGTGTTCTGCGTTTGCGACTAAAGCAGGAAACAGGTATTTGCCTGCAGATTGCTTGGTCCGGACCTTTACACGTATTTATTATTGTCCATAATTGTTTCCCACCTTTATTCGTATTTCTTTATCTGTGTTCTGCGATTACGACTTAAGTTAGTCCAGGCTGGAGCCCTTTCAAAAGTCCTGGAGACTCAGATTTTGTACTTTTGATCTGCAGACTGCTTAGGCAAGATCTTTACACACAAGTTTACTTCATCTACGATTATTTCTCACTTTCATCTTTTATTACGATATTTATATTTGTTCATGTTCCAGTGTTCAGCGTCTACGGCTGAAGTTGGTCACAGTTCGGAATCCCTATCAAAGGTCCTACAGTCCTTTGTGACACAGCAGTTCGCAACACGTAAGACGGACCTCGCTGTCCGTGGAGGCTGGGCTTACGTGTGTTTTGGATCTGCAGACGACTTGGTCCAAGCCTTTGCACGCAACTTCGATATTTTTATAATAATAATAACAACTATCTGATTGTGTCCCTATCCTTATCGCCGAAAGGGATTTCCCTTGGGTCTCACGGCTCAGGGGTTAACCCGTCAACGATCCGGTGTTGGATCACGGAGAGGCAGTGTCTCACGGAAATGGGCCAGGAGGGGCCCATTTCACAAGATTTTTTATTTACCTCTTCTCCCATTTTTCCACATCCTGTTTCCTTTTATAAAATTTTATCGAACATTTTCAACGCGAAGGACATTACAAAATTGTACTATATCACACGAAGAATATTTGTGTTGGCACAGTTTATTAAAATAGAGAAAAATACATGTTTTAATAACTGTGAATTTCAGGTAGAGACAAGCGGAATCCTTTATCAAAGGTGCTGCAAATAAATAAAATAGAAGGTAAATAGAAATGAGTAACGATAGATTTGATGAATAGGTTACTGTAAACAGCAATCTCTAATTAAGAATAAGGAGTTTTCAAGGTAAATAGAATTATCCATTGTAGTCCCTGTTAGTCTCCAACTCTTTGTAAATTCGTTGATTTAATCTCAATATATTCAGCATGCAGATCCGTTTATGTTTCGCTCGTCAACCGAT